ATTTTAGTCTCTAACATTGCTGATCTGTTCGATTTTAGTCCCTTAGCTATGTTACATATTCGTTAAGGATTAACAATGAAGAGACCTAAACCAGACATACCGATAATGTTAGAGATTATTTACGCTTAATTTTTAATTTGGTGATCAAAATCGGATAGACCCTAAATAAAAAAGACTATTCACGTAGTTTACCCTTAAATAAAAGAGAAAATAACTTCAGTGACCAAAAATCCCAGATAATATACGATTTTGACCAACTTTTTTTGGATTTGCGAAAATGACCAACAAAATCGCAATGCGATCTCTAATTCGCATTGCGATCTCCACTATCGCAAATTCGCGTTGCATTTCGCGTTGCGATAGTTGAAAATCGCGTTGCGATTTTCCATTTCGTGTTGCGATTTTCCATTTCGCGTTGCGATAGTTGAAATTCGCGTTGCGATTTTCCATTTCGCGTTGCGATAGTTGAAATTCGCGTTGCGATTTTCCACTTCGCGTTGCGATAGTTGAAAATCGCGTTGCGATTTTCTATTTCGCGTTGCGATAGTTGAAAATCGCGTTGCGATTTTCCATTTCGCGTTGCGATAGTTGAAATTCGCGTTGCGATTTTCCATTTCGCGTTGCGATAGTTGAAATTCGCGTTGCGATTTTCCATTTCGCGTTGCGATAGTTGAAATTCGCGTTGCGATAGTCTACAGTTGTCGTTGCGATTTTCCAAATTCGTTGTGATGGTTAAAAAAAAGATTTTGTTTCTTAAGAATTTTATCTAAAAAGATAGTATCCGCGCGGACGTGTCGAAGACACGTATTACCACGACCACGACCACGACCACGACCACGACCACGACCACGACCACGACCACGACCACGACCACGACCACGACCACGACCACGACCCGACCCGACCCGAGACGAGACGGACGGCGGCGGCGGCGCGCGAGAGTTTCCCTTGTTCTCTATCACTCAACAAGGAAGTGGGAAAGCCAAGCCTTAAATACCATTCCCAATAGTGTTTCCAATACTATGTGGGATTTGAGCATTACCAACACTTGTTCCCAATACTATGTGGGATTAAGCCTTAAATAGTGATATTATTTTTGAATGTTTTGCTTAAAATTGCAATAATCGCGATTGATTGTAGATTGACTTTTAATTATGACATATTTAATCGTATAATACTAATGCAATTGGTTGCTGATTCAGTTGTTTTAAGGTGCATGATTGTTAATTGTTTCCTGAATATTCACATTGTATTGGAAACAAGTGTTGGTAATGCTCAATCCCACATTGTATTGGAAACACTATTGGGAATGGTATTTAAGGCTTGGCTTTCCCACTTCCTTGTTGAGTGATAGAGAACAAGGGGGACTCTCGCGCACCGCCGCCGCCGTCCGTCTCGTCTCGTCTCGTCTCGTGGTCGTGGTCGTCGTGGTCGTGGTCGTGGTCGTGGTCGTGGTCGTGGTCGTGGTCGTGGTCGTGGTCGTGGTCGTGGTAATACGTGTCTTCGACACGTCCGCGCGGATACTATCTTTTTAGAGAAAATTCTTAAGAAACAAAATCTTTTTTTTCAACGAATTTGGAAAATCACAACGACAATTGTAGACTATCGCAACAAATTTGGAAAATCGCAACGCGAATTTCAACTATCGCAACGCGAAATAGAAAATCGCGCGAAATGGAAAATCGCAACGCGATTTTCAACTATCGCAACGCGAAATGCAACTCGAATTTGCGATAGTGGAGATCGCGTTGCGATTTCAACTATCGCAACGCAAAATAGAAAATCGCAACGCGATTTTCAACTATCGCAACGCGAAATGGAAAAACGCAACGCGATTTTCAACTATCGCAATGCGAAATGCAACGTGAATTTGAGATAGTGGAGATCGCAATGCGAATTAGAGATCGCATTGCGATTTTCTTGGTCATTTTCGCAAATCCAAAAAAAGTTGGTCAAAATCGTATATTATATAGGATTTTTGGTCACTGAGGTTATTTTCTCTAAATAAAATATATCGGTCTCTCTTCAATTTGGATTTATTTAACTGGTTAGGACACTGATAATGTGATGGAAAAAGTTCGTAAAATAATTTTTTCCTATTTCTAATGAACTAGTATACTAAAATTTCTAATTATTCCAAAGATTACATCTAAATTTTTAACATTTGAAATTATGGTTTACATTAGAAATTACGGATACTTACTAAAATATTAGCTATCCATTATAATTTTTTGTACGTGAAAAGTTTATTTTCTGATTTTTTTTTTAAAAAAATCTTTAATAATTTGATATTGCATTATAATATACAGTCAATAACGATCAACAGTTAATCAATACTATTTAATTTATTTTCTATCAATACTAATTAATTTCAGTCAATAATAATAGTAAAGAATGATCAACAATCTAATCAACATTCCTACTTAACACCAAAATAACTCATACTAATCCCAAAATATTTTATTTTACCTAAATATGTTATCTATCTAAAATTTCTGATTCCTACCAAAATTATGTAACATCTACCATAATCTATATATTTTATCAAAACATGTACAATACCACAGAATTTATTATAGTTACCAAATAGACCAAAATATTTTAGGGTAAACTATATATTTAGTACCTAAATTATTATTTTTGTTCTATTTGTTACTCAAACATTATTTAAAAAAAAATTATATATAAAGTTTAGTTTATGTTTCATTTTGGTATCTCGCTGTTAAAAAATTAACGGTGATGTTGACTGTCACCATAAGGTAATGATATGTCATCTTTGAAAAAAATAAAGTTTAAGTACTAAAACAGAATAAAAGTAATAATTTAAGTATTAAATGTGTAGTTTACCCTTTTTAATTTATTTTTCATAAATAATACCTATATATATATATATATATATGGTTTGTTAAAATTGAAACTTATACTAAACTAATGGTTTTGAAAAAAGTCTGTGTATCAAAATGAACAAAGGTAATAGTTTAGATATTAAACATGTAATTTAATATCAATACTAAATCAATTAGAAATATAAATACTACTCAAGAGAGTATCAATAAACAAATTATAACCAAAGATTTATGTGATATTGAGAAGTTCGATAAAATATATGCATCAACTAGATAATTAGCCAAGTAAATTTTTTAGTAAATTTTTGTTTTTCCCACTAAAGTTTCAACAGTAAAAAATTGATCACTAATATTATCAATTTATAATAAACCGATCACGTACCGTTAACCATTGTTACTAAAACGTTAAATCAAATGACCTAGCACTATTTGACCATGCGAGATCCCTTTGACCGGCCATTTGACTATGCTCTTTTATTTTGCTTCCTTCATCATCTTTTGTTTTGCTTTCTCCATCATCAAACTTGTTTTCTTCCTTTCATATAAACACTAACTCAACGTAACGATTCGGTAATTAAACTCCATGTTATAGTAAACTGTTTGATTTTCTTATTTTATTTGATTTCTGCAGCATATGGTGAACTGCACCAGCCTTCCACTTCTACTTACGAAGAATAGTATATCTTCTGCTGTGAATTTCATTTTACTTGGCATATCATCCCAAGGAGGGCCTGCTGTGTTCCTTTCCTCATTGCAGTGCAGTTTGTCCATGCTAGCTCGTTGCTACTCCTTTCTATGATAAGCAAGATTCCATACATGTTAACAAAAAGTAAACTTGCATTATAGTTTCCGAGGGAACCTCTTGTAGGCGTTGAATGATCGTGTCCACCTTAATACCTAATTAACATGTCTTTCTTGTTAGCGAATGACATATATGCCTCTCTGTGTTTATCCTTGTTTCTTTTAAGATTGAGATAGTGCTGGAAAAGCTGAGAATATTGAGGCCATAGATGGAGTTGTAACCCCAATGAAAGCTGGTGATCACAAAGCATAAGAAATTAAAGGATATAGCATCATGGATGATAAAAGATTGTAAATATAATCAACTAGGGGGAAAAGAAATAACTTTTTTTCAGATAACAATGGAAGGGACTTGAGAGCTGCACGAAATTGTTCATCCTTGATGGCGAGGAGTAGCAGCATTGAGCAACCTGTCATCTGCCGAGAAGTTCCTTTTGCGCATTTGCTCCAAACGATTCATTGCTTTTTCAATCTCCTTTTCCCGTAAAAGCCCATTGATAACGACACTATATGAGATGGAATCGGGTAAGCAGCCCTTTTCTTCCATTTCTTTGAGCAATTTATCAGCCACCAGTGACATACCGTGAGTAAATATGTATGCATGTATTTCTTTCCTTTCTCTTATAGTTTCCAAGCGTTATCAAGTTAGCTTTGATTCGTTTGTGGTCCTCGAGGTAACAATAGGCCCAGAAACAGCAGCCGCGGTTAAAGTGTTTATATGAAAGGAAGAAAACAAGTTTAATGATGGAGAAAGGAAGACAAAAGATGACGAAGAAAGCAAAATAAGAGCGGAGGGTCAAGTGGCCAGTCAAAGGGGTCCCGTATGGTCAGATGGTGCTAGGTCAGGTCAACATTCCTATATTTCAGTAACGACTGACCGATTTATTATAAATTACTTGTACTTTTGAAACATTAGTAAAAAACGAAAACTTAAGAAAAAAATTAATGACTTTTTTATAGAATTCAATTCAAATATCTGAAGAAAAGCTATTATGCTCTTTAACTATTAAATCGATTTGATGGGTTGGTAACGAAAGATTTAGAAGGCAAATTCCACTTTCCAAGATTAACGGGGAATTAAAGAAATGAATAGATGAGCGTGTTTTAGTGCTCCGTAGAAAACTCGACGGAACTGTGTTACATTGGCGTCACTTTTTCCGGTCTATGTGTGGATTTAACTCAATTTTCTATTTCTACCCAATATGTTCAATTCAACCTAAAATCAAACAGTTTGAATACCAATTACCTTTGTTTTTCCGTGTAATTCTCACACTTACGACGCTCGACGCGACAGCTTCACGTGCATCCCCTTTCATTTCTGCCTAAGCATTGCTAAAGCTACCAAGTGCAGCGCTTTCACTAATAATTTGGTTTTTGTTTTTCTAGCTAAATATAGATCGTTGGTTTTAAATTCACTGTATGGTCCCTTTCATTTATCGCATTCCCCAATTCACAGATGTCTGCAGATTTTGATGGCGCTTCCTACCCATCTCTCGCTTCCTTCCTCCACTCTTTTCGCTCCAAAATTCCATCCCTTCTCACCCTCTCCGTCTTCTTTCCCTTTCTTCTCCAAACCGTGCTCCAAATCTCTCAATCTTCGCCTTCGTGCTGATGTCCTCTCTTCCACTTTGACTGCTATGGAAGTCGGTGAAAATTTACCACTTAATTATGGTGACTGGCTTCCCCAGCCAGATCCGAACCAGCGCCGAAGAGCTGGAATTTTGCTCCATCCCACTTCCTTTCGTGGACCTTATGGCATCGGGGATCTTGGCGAACAAGCTTTTCATTTCATTGAGTGGCTACATTTAGCTGGTTGCTCCGTTTGGCAGGTATAACCCGCTTCATTTAAGTTCGGAGTTCAGTTAAGCTAAAATGGATGCAAAATGTTATGGATTGATATAAAATTTATATTAATGATTGGAAATTGATTGTCAATGTAGGTGCTTCCCCTTGTTCCTCCTGATGGTGAAGGATCGCCATATGCAGGCCAGGTGCTGCTTCACCAATGTCTTATTAATTATTTATTTTTCTGTTTCAATAAGTAATAACAATCGATTCTGAGAGTTTATCAATTTAGATGGTTCTCTTTTTACTAATTATTGATTTATGTTTCCTCTTTGTTTTATACGAAATTGTGTAAGCTTCCTTGATGATTATTGTTTCAGGATGCCAACTGCGGTAGCACTATCTTGATTTCACTTGAGGAGCTTGTTAAAGATGGTTTGCTAACAAAGAAAGAGCTTCCACAACCAATGTGAGGAGGTTTTTTTATTTTTTTGGTACTGTTATATTTGGCTAAAATTGTAGTATAACATAATCTTAACACTTACAATTTAAGTAGCTTCTATGTCATTTGTGCAGTGATTGTGACCGTGTGAACTATTCTATTGTTGCTAAGCTAAAGGATCCTCTGATAACTAAGGTAAAGCATCTTCTGAATGACACTTCTTTATCTGGTTAGCCATGCTCAGTTCAACTCATGTCATCATTTCTTAGGCCGCAGAAAGGCTACTCTCAGCTGATGGAGAACTTAAAACTCAACTTGAGGCTTTCCGTAGAGATCCTACCATATCGTGTGAGCTATTTATTTTCCATATAATTGCACTAACTACAATTACATTCCTGTGTACTTCTAGTTTAAATATCCGCTGAGCTTCAATCTGCATTTGATCGTTTTATTACTGTGTGAATCTACTGAGTTTGTGGGCTTGAGAGTGAAAGGTTTTTGGTGGAAAAATAACGTTTTTTTTTTCTGGGATTAAAAGGGGTTGACAAAGATTTTGAAAATACTCATTTTTGACTTATTTACTTTCTCATTCTCAATTTGCGTGCTAGTCATTTATTTGGTGCAGATTCAAATTGTTTCCCTACGTTTTCTCAATTATTTGAATGAAATTACTGTAATGAGATGACTTTTATACAAATCTTTTGCTGGTATTGGTCGAAGTTAGACCTTCTTTCATCCAAATTTCTCTGAATTTACTCTGCAAAATCCTCGTGATTCTTTTCATGGAACTTTTACTTTGATGTCCTGACTCCTGATCCTTCCATGTCGCATGTTTTATATATGTAGTGATTTACAGTTAAGAGATTTCATAGGGAGTTGTCTGCCAGCAGTAATTAATTTTTTTAAAAACTTTCACTTGTGTGCATCTGTAGCTAAAGAGTTTTACTTTATCCTAATTATTTAAGTAATACTCAAGAGAATACAAAAAACCACAAAGTAAAAGTATTGAGGTTTGTTCTTTTTGATGTACTGATTTATCATGCTCCTTTCCATTACCTTTGAATTTAATTTTTGTGAAACTGGAGGCCTTTCTTCATGATTTTTTTTTATCTTTTTAGGTTGGCTCGAAGATGCAGCTTATTTTGCTGCCATCGATGACCATTTAAAAGCATTCAGTTGGTATGATTGGCCTGAACCTTTGAAAAATCGCCATCTTGCAGCCTTAGAAAGGATATATGAGGAAAAGAAGGATTTTGTATGATCTGGATCTCTCTTATTAAAAATACTGGCTTAATAGCATCATATACTAGCTGCCTAATTTAGATGCTAATATTGCTAGCTGCCGTTGCTTTCATTTGACAGATAGACTTGTTTATTGCTAAACAATTCCTGTTCCAAAGGCAGTGGCAAAATATTCACAGCTACGCACAGGCAAAAGGAATCAGCATAATGGGAGACATGCCTATTTATGTAGGTTATCACAGTGCTGATGTTTGGGCAAATAAGAAACATTTTCTGCTGGTGAGGAGTTTATTTATGATCAAGAATAATTTAACTATGCTCCAAATTGTTCTATTGTTAGTATTGGCTACAAGTTTTCTGTTCTCTTTGACAGAATAGGCATGGCTATCCATTGCTAGTCAGCGGTGTTCCACCTGATGCCTTCAGTGAGACTGGTCAGCTGTGGGGGAGGTTTGTACTGACCAAAAACAAGTTCATATGCGTGTTATATAAACAATCTAGTTTTTTATAACTATTTTTACCCATGCTAGTGAAAGCAGGGTATTGTTTCATGTTCATTATGGAGATACATTACATATCCAATTTATGCACCTAAAGAGTGTTTTGTATCTTTTTTCTTTATTTTTCCTCCCTTGTTATTTTATTGCTAGGCATGTCTTTTCGATTTCCTAACAAGGTTAGTGGTCATTTATTCAACACTTTTTAACTGTTAAAACTCACACAAATTATTTTAGTTATAGCATTTAAACATCTGTATGATGTTTTGCTCATCCTGATATCCAGCTCTTATTTTCTCTTAGGCTATGTTTGCACTTTAATTTTTTATGCTAGGTTTTTGCTGCACCGGTCGTCTTTAATTAAGGTATCCTTTATTTCAGCCCTCTATATGATTGGAAGGCCATGGAGAAGGATGGATTTTTATGGTGGATACGTCGCATTAGACGTGCACAGAATCTATATGATGAATTCAGGATTGACCACTTTAGAGGATTTGCTGGCTTTTGGGCCGTCCCTTCTGGTGAGTTGTAAACTATACTGAATGAATGGTGCTTGCTAGAAATGTGATACACTGAAAACCACGTTACTGAGACAATTAATCTATGCAGAAGCAAAAGTTGCTATGGTTGGACGATGGAAGGTCGGGTTTTCTGATTCTGACCATGCTAAAATTTTCTTCAATTGTCCCATTTTCCATTTCCATTACTGATTTTATTTCCATGATAGTAGGTCGGTCCTCAAAAATCGTTATTTGATGCTATCTACAGAGCAGTTGGAACCATCAATATCGTAGCTGAAGATCTGGTATGTTCTGCTTGATATAATATGAACTTATATCATTTTTCTTTCTGTTTCTTGCTGTAGCTTTATTTGCTAATCCCTTCTCCAAGGAAAGTGGCAAATAGATGCTTCAAGATTTAGCAAGGATGCTGAGGATTTTTAGGGTCCAGAAGAACGTTTTGTTTAACTCTGTAGTTCATGTCCTCCTTTGCAAACTCTCATCCTCTTGTGTACCACATGGCAGGGAGTTATAACCGAGGATGTGGTTCAGCTTAGGAAATATATTGGAGCCCCCTGGAATGGCTGTTCTCCAGTTTGGTAATATGTTGCCACTAATTAACTGTGACACCTAGGGATGGGCATGGGACCCGAACACGACAGGTTCGGGTCGGGTCGGATTTGGTTTTAGGGTGAAAGATACCCGACTTGACCCGAAAAAAATATAATTTTACCTTAGATATTTAGGAATAATTACAATAATACCCCTCTATGTATTATTTTTTTCAATTAAATCACTGTTTTTATTGAATAAAAATAATGTTTTTTTTATTATTTCGGGTCGGGTGGAGGGTATATATTATGCGGGTCGGGTCAGATTTCGGGTGGAGGAGTCATTGTTCTCGGGTCAGGTCGGGTGGACCAAAAATCCGACCCAACTTGACCCATGCCCATCCCTAGATACCATATTTTTTAAATTATCATTTTGACTGATGGCTTTTGATTTGGCATTCTTTGATATTGTAGTTTTGTCCCATTTTCTCTTGCTTTAGGTTTTGGTAGTGACTCTAGAAACCCTCATTTACCTCACAATCATGAGCCAAATCAAGTTGTGTACACGGGAACACATGACAATGACACGGTAAAGCTCCTTCAAGGTTCTTCGTTCTTGCCATACTCCATTTTCAGTATCATGGATGCTTGAAAGTTGGCATGCTGCATGCCAGGAATGATAGTTGCTTTTGGGAACTTTATTCCATCTGAGCAAACTTCATTAATCAAATGCAATTCGAAACAAAACAAGGACAGCATTTAAGATATGGAATGACGGAAATCACAATAACAAGTAAAAAACAAAACCAGTGAAGACAACTCAGAAGTAATTCATTTCAATTTTCAGCAAAAATATTGAAAAAATTACATAAAACAATGTTAGTAAGGGAATCACCCATGTCTAGAAAACTAATATCTGAAACAAACATCAAAATTTTGAAAATTGTCTCAATCTTAGAATATATATGGAGGAAGAAGAGTAGGGATAAAGAATGAAAGAGAGGGATGAGGTGTGAAATTTGATACGACACTAGTCATATATTCGAGCTTAATGCATATTTTATATGGTTTCACAAAAAATATTTTACCAAATCTTTAGAAGTTGTATAGTAATAGTTCTTTTTGATGATCTCATAGATCCAAGGTTGGTGGAGCAATTTGATGGAACAAGAGAGGTCCAATGTGAGTTTCCTTTGTTATGCTAAAGCTTCTGATCAGATTTATTATCTTGTATTTGTTTTACATCAAAAATTTGTCCCAGGTATTGAAATATCTTCGTATCACTGAAAAAGATGAGATCTCATGGGCACTCATCCAAGCTGCAGTTGCTTCAATAGCTCAAACAGCTGTCATAACCATGCAGGATGTTCTCGGGTTAGACGGGTCTTCCAGGATGAACATTCCTGCAACACAGGTAAATATAATTTCTTCGCATGTGCCAATATGAGTGTGCTGTAGCATGGGGTAATTCAGGTTCATGCATCTAGAACATTGTGCAAAACCTTGCTCCCATTGGTTGATTAATTTAAACTTGGATGACACACGTCAGAATCTTCCTTGTTTTAACTTGATCCAAAGTTTATTATTCTTCCCTTTCTAAGTTCTCTATTTTTTTCTTTCCTGTTGCAATTACATTCTCATCTTTATCAAGGTAAAAAAGGAAAGTAATATGTGCATTGTAAGTGTCTCATATACTCAAACTGACCGATTTCCACAAATCTCAATGTGACCTGTTGTTGTGCAGCAAGGAAACTGGGGTTGGAGAATACCTAAGTCCATGAGTTTTGATTCCTTGGAAACCGAAGCCTTAAGGTTAAGGTATATGCTTTCCATGTATGGGCGAATGTAGTTCCGGAAAGCTTCATATATTTCTTTTCCTCAATAATTACACATGATTTTAGATTTGGCCACCCCTTATCATGTGTCGAAAAACACTCTGTAGCTTTGAATAAGTTTTTCTTATGATCAATGCTTAAGAGTAAAATATTATTTATAAACTAATAAAAGACTTGATGCCCTTTCATTTCTATCTGGCTTTAAAATCTTACTTTCTAGATAGATGCTGCTTGGTGCAATGACTGCTACTTATAATGGATGAATTAATACTAGCTTCATGGAGAGGACCCAAAACTCATATCCCGTCTGCTTTTAGCTTGAACTCTTAACCTAGCTCGGTATATTTTGTGCTTGAATCTTCCTGTGACTACCCAAGTTTCAAGTTTTGGCAATCATTCTACTTTTGCAAGTTTTCAGCGTACTAATTATCTGTGTTCAGTAGCATCATGTTGGTTGAAGAATGTAAGCAGTCTATACTATAGATAGAAGTGTTATTTACTCTACTCTATGTATTATAAAACCGAGTCTTTGTACATTTGATATCCTTTTACAATCATTTTGGGGCATATAAATTGATTATCAAGATTCTGGGTATTGACAATGAAATTAATAAGAAAGAAAACCAGAAGAAAATTCAGCAGCAGCTTAAGTGCTGATGTAAATTTCAATCTTCCCCAAATTTGGGTACTTGAAAGCAAAGTACTATAGGGAACTGCAAGGTAAAACCTATGCAGCGTTCTCAATTGCTTGGATGCATTCCAATACAGTGGATTTCTTCGACATTGCCAACATCAAGGCTTCATGGATCTCCTTGTTGTTTTTCAACAGGGATCCAGCAAACAGAACCTGTATCAGTTTAACGTTTGCATTAGCTTCATTTATCCTATAATATGAAAGCTGAAGGGATAAGTTGAGTAACTTACTGCCCATCTAGTTAAATTTTGCTGCTGATCATTGCTGAGTTTTGGTTGGCTCCTGTTTATGAATCTCTGCAGAGAATACAAACCATAGTTTAGTTGCATCAGTGGTAAACTACATATGAAATCTTGTTCAACTTTGGCTGAAAGGCTTGTTGTAAAACCTGGAGAGTGAAAAGATCAGCTGATTGACCCACCACTTTGTCATATTTCAAACCCTCTGCTGCAAGTCCAGCCATTGCAACCACTGCCAACCTGAGACGCACGTACATAATTATATATGATAATTATATATAAGCTTTGAGATGATTCATATTGGTACCTGTCGAGCTGCTTAGCATCAAGCTGTCCGCTATATATAAGCTTTTCCAGCTTTTCATCAATGAGATTGACGTGTTCATTACCAATATCTAGTGAATACCCCAGGATAGGAAGACCCAACAAATAGCCAACTACATAAGAGTATTTATATGTGAGTATATACATACATACATACGCATGCACATGTCATTAGATATTAGATGAGATGAGAGATTACTTAAAAAATGAGCAGCTTCATGCCTAGCAATCCTTTCTTGGTAATCAGGGAAGAATGTGGAAAAGCCTCCAATGGCAGCTTGAAGAAGCCTGTAAGAGCAAATTAAAAGAGAGTCTAGAAACCATGGGATTCTTGCATTAGACTTACCCAGGCGAAATGCTCCCCACTGCCAACACTATCAATGAAATGCTCCCGATTAAATATGGTACAAAGAAGCCCCAATCCTGTAATGAACCAGAAAGAACTTGTCTACTATTTTACAGTTCCATCAAAGAGAACAATGACAGTTCAAAGATAAATTATGTGGTCAAGACACTAAATGAAAAAGGAGAGGAGATCATATATAGAGTTAAATTACCCCAGGAAGCTGGCCAGCAAGAACTCCCAAAAACCCTGTTGTCCCAACTACTGTGAAAAGGAATGCTGCCTGTTACAACTGAAACATATCAAATACATGAACAGAAATTTGTAATTAATGTTTTAGCCATGTTTGAGCTCCGAATTCCAAATTTTTAGTGGAGCTTGGCTCAATGACTGCCATATATTGACTCCAAAATATGAGTGATACTATGAGATAATCCCAAGTAGAAGATGAGCATTGTGTTTCTTACATCATTTCGAACACTTGGAATTGCAAGATTTTCTGCATTTTTAATACCGAGGCTGGTCAACTCCCGAAGAGATGTCTGATGCAAACAATCCCAAAGTCAAGCCCCTTCTTTTGCTGGGCTAAATATGTATATAGCAGTGAACAGATACGATGGTATGGTAAACATGTACATGTATGCATATGCGTATGCAGGCTAACATTTGAGTGATCACTTTTCCCAAAACTTCAGACTCGATATCGGAGACTGACCGTACGACGAGAGACATACGGCTGCGAACTCCATTTCTTGGCCCATCCAGTTTCAGTAAGCTGATCAAGTGCCTCTTTCACGGCATCACTGTCTTTCTGAACCAAAATACATATACATAGATATCAACCATCATTCATTTTTCAGAAAAAAAGCTGTGAAGCTACAAGCAAATGATCTTAATATGTAGGTTTAATTCAATTTCAATAAAAAAAATGAACAAAAAGTTAAACCCGAAATTGAACACCCAATTTCAAGTAATTTTTTAAGCAAGTCAGGGGGGAAAAGAAAGAAAATAAACCTTGGAAATGGCGAATTCAAGAGAGTTGAGGTTAACATCAGGAGCAGCCGCAGATGAAGAAGAAGATGATGGTCTTATTTGCAGTTGCAGCTCTGATTTCCTGGGTGTTATTGTTAACGCCTTAAAACACTTGCAGGAATGTTTATTGTAACAATGAAGATATTGAAATGGAAGCTTTGTGTTTGATAGAGAAGACATGGTATTCACATTCAACATTGTCTTTGTTGCCGTCTTTTCCAATTTCTTTTTTCTCTAATGTTTCTCTTTTGAGAATTGGGAAATGAAAAAATATTGCTGCATGCAACTGACTTATTAAGAGTGGATAAGGTTCACGGGGCTTTGGCACAAGGTGAAGTTATTTTTGCACCACGTTGGCTAAGGCTCCTTCATCGTTTTGGAGAACTAAGTAATATTAAATCAATAATTTTTTTAATAAAAAATTAAATAATTTTTAATTTAAATATAAAATTGAAATTTTTAATTTTTAAAATATAATTATAGTTTATTTTATAATTTCTATATTTATATTTTTTTTATCAATACATAATTATATTATTAATAGATTTATTAATCTTGTTAATTGTATATCTTAGTTTATTTACATGTTATTTATGAGTTTTAAAATTTTATATAGCATGTTCATGTTAATTTTTAAATAAATTTATATATTTTTATGGATGTAGAACCAATATAATTTTTTAAATTATTATAATTTAAGTTGATATATATATAATATTAAGAAATTTAAATATTATTTTTAGTTTACAATGATAAAATGATCATTTATTTAAAAAAATATATTTTAACAACAATATTAAATATTTAAATCTTAAATTAATCTTTTAAAAATATTTTTAATAAACATTTTTGTTTCTTCCTTTTTAAAATAATATTAAACTAATCCTAGACTTTATAATCAACTAGTCAAATACAAAAGTTCTTTCTAGGAAACTTTTAATGTATTTATGCATTTTATGGCATGATGATTTTCTAGGACAATTCCTTCCACTTATGAAGAAGTAACACAAAGCTAAGAGTGGACAAAAATTATGAAAGAAAAAATTAAGGCACTAACATAAAATCAAATATGGAATTTAGTTTCAAAGTCAAAAAGATGTAAAACCAATATCCTGCAAATAAGTTTATAGGGTGAAGACTCGACCAGATGACTCTATTGAAAGATATAAAACTCGACTTGTTGTTCGAGGTTTCTTTCAACAATATGGATCATATTATGAAGAAACATTTAGTTTGATGGAAAAGATCACAACAATTCAAGTTTTACTTGCTTTGGTTGCTAGCAAGTCTTGAAAGTTGTGGCACATGGATGTCAAATATGTTTTCTTACATGGGGAATTTGACAAGAATATTTATATGGAGGCAACCAAGAGCCTTTGAGAGCAAGATCCATCCCAAGTATATCTACAAACTAAAGAATACCCTCTATGGCTTGAAGCAGGCTCTAAGAGCATGGTATAAAAATTTCTATGAGTTTTTGATACAAAGTGGTTTTAAATATGCTCATTCAGATTCTAGTTTATTTGTGAAAGAAAATCAAGGAAAACTAGGCACAATACTAGTATATATCGATGACTTAATCATCACGGGAGATCATTGAGAGAAAATCCAAACAAAGGAACATCTTTCTATTATGTTACATATGAAGGAGCTTGAAGAACTCAAACAATTTTTTTGGACTTAAAGTAGAGCACACGAAAGAAGGATTATTTTTGGGACAACAAAATTATGCTAACAATCTTTTACATAAGTATGAGATGCTTAATTGCAAACCATCTCAACTCATATGGATCCTAATATACAATTGCAAGAAGATGAGAAAATAGAAGATGTTACCATGTATCGATAATTGGTGAAAGTCTAGTTTATCTCACACTAAGCCGACCAGACATAACTTATGCAATTGAAGTTGCTAGTCGATACATGAGCAATCCAAAGAAACCTCACCTTGATGTGGTACAACACATCCTGAAGAGGTTAAAGGTACTATTCATTTTGATATTTTATACAAGAAAACAAAGGAATGTCAGGTGATAGGATATTATGACGCTGAATACACTGGAGATTATGATACACAACTATCAAAAATTGAGTATGTTTTTAGTCTTGGATCAGATGCAATATCATGGTGAAGTAAGAGACAACCAACAATATCATTATCAAGCACCGAAGCAGAATATCGATCTACAACATCAACGATTCAGGAAAGTACTTGGTTGAAACAACTAATAAAAGATCATCAGCCAACAGATTATCAAGTAAGGCTTCTATACGATAATTTATCAACCATACGTCTAGTAGAGAATCCAATCTTTCATGCAATGACAAAACATATAGAAGTGCACTATCAATACGTTCGCGAGAAGGTCCTTGAAGGGGAGATTAAGATAGTGCCAATAAAGATAGATGAACAAGTTCAAGATATTATAATGAAGAGTCTGAGTTGACCAAAGTTCGAAAAGTTTAGAGAAACAATTAGAATGGTCTGTAAATCATCTATGAAAATAAGTTTATATTGAGGGGGAGTGTTAAGATCTAATACAACTTCTAGATAAATATATAATTATCATTTAGGAGATATATATTAGGAATATTCTAGATTAATATAGAAAAAGTAGATATCTAGAAATATCCATAAAATAATATAGATATTTGTAATGGTAAATGACTAAGATGTTGACATGTGTCAACAATCCAATGACCACTAAAATCTATAAATAGGGGTGAGTTTTACCATTGTAGTAAGAGTGAAAAAGAATGAAACAAGTGTTAAAAGTGTGAGTTAGAGAAAGATAACTTAGAGGTAGAGAAGATAAAAGTGGTGTGGTTAGGCTGTAATATTGTCATTGTGTTTTCTATTAATAAAAGTGTTATCTTCTTTTAAGTTTCCCGATTAAGCTTTAGTTGTTTTAAGTTCCTAGTGCACTTGTGTTTATATATGGTCGGCTATGCCACTTGAATAATATATGGTTGGTTATACCGCCTAATTGATATATGGTCACCTCTGCCGCTTGAATGATATATGGTGGGCTATACCGCTTAAGTATTATTGCGCACTAAAAATTTATAGGATAAAAGGCTAACCAACGTGAAAAAAGTTGATGTAGTGTTAGTGATCTATCATAGATCCTTCTTTTAGGTGAGCAAGTTGATTTAGTTATCCCAAAGCCTAACAAAATTTACACTCGTATGGATGATGATCGATTTTGCTAAAAAAATCCTTGCATTTTTAATTAATTTTATTTAATAAAAATATAAATTATTTTTAATAAAAAATTAAAATTTTACTAATGCTTACAAAAATTCTTTGACTAACTCAATACTAATCTTATTTCCTATTAGATTCTTGGTTAAAATGCTTCTAAAAATATAATACCCCAAAATTTGTCTAGTGACTAAAATCTAAGTTTTGAAAGTTTTGTGATTAAAGTACAATTTTAAAAAATATATAGTTTAGCCCGGAAATGAATAAGTTGGTATAAAACAAGGATTTTCGTAGGAATCATATTTTCGGTACAAGATTTGTGTTAAAGGCTATAAAACGGTAAAGTTCGGTATTAAATCAGATAATTAGATCAAATCAAAATTTCACAAAAATTTGAAGGATGATAGATAAAGGTTGGAAATATTATTTATATATTTTAGAAAAAAGAAATTTAACATGGATCAATGAAATTAAGATCGATTTTCCATGTTAAGCTGAAATTTTGGAATTAGGTGACTAAATTGTAATTTTCAAAAATTGCAAGGACAAACATGAAGAATCAGAATTAAGATATTTTTATGGATATGAAGAGGTAAGGGATGATGTCATGGACTGACATGGGTGTAATTTTGGGAATTCATTAATGGTAAGTTAGTCTTTTGGCCTAAAATGATAAAAAAAAAAGTTATAATTGATTTTTTTAAGGGTTAAAGTAGGAGATTTTTTTGGAATGCTTGTGAACTTCTCTTCTCTCGTCCAGCAGGTTGCTGAAACCCATAGCCAAGGTAAGCAAATTTATTTTCTTCCATTTTTGACCAAATTTAGTGAGTTTTGGGACTAAAACGTGAAATAAGAAATTCACCTACACTAATTTCTCTATAAGATGGTGTAATTAATTCTTGGTTTCATGTTTGAATGGTGGTAGTGGGTGATTTATGTGGATGAAGGGGAAGTGTGATTTTTATGATTAAAGATTGATTCTTGATATTAGAAGTGTGGTAAGAATTGATGAAGAACCTAAGGACGCAAATTAATGAAAATAGTTTAGATTTTGAATTTGGCAGTGAGTTTGAAAATTCACCATAAATAATATAAAAAATATTTGGAGGTGATTTTTATATATTATGTTCTTATATCAATATAGTTTTGTTTAAAACAAACGAGGATCAATTTCAAGGTTTATAAAAAAGATATGAATTTTTAACCGAGGAAAGGTCAGAAAAACGAGCAGCAGATTCTGCATAAAACATATTCTGTCAGTCAACTTTGAAAATTCACCATAAATTGTACAGATTGAATTAGAAGGAGTTATTTATATTTATAGATTCTTATTCGAGTCTAGTTTTCAACGGAAGAAATAGAATTAAATTTCAGTGAGTGTATCAATACAAAATATTGATTCTTTAAAGGTAGTGCAAGTAGTCTGAATATGGAAACTTTAGAATTTAAGTTGAAATGGATTAGAAGATGAAGAGTAATTTTTAAATGTAAAAGTACCATTTGGGTGAGTTAGAATAATTTTGGAAATTTTGGAAAGTGTGCTGATTTTTGGAGTTTAAGTATTAAGTTGGGATTGAATTTCAAGTTTATCAAGTTGTAAGGTTGAAGTATTGATTTGAACTTTTATTTTAGTTGCTGGAAATTTTATATATTTAATGGGAAATGATCATAATAGTGAAGAGCTATTATGAAATTAAAGGAAAAGTTGAGTTTAATTCTGGAAAGAATTTAAAATACGTGGTTTGATTTTATAATTGGTAAAAGTTGAAGATCATGTTGGGAATAATTATTTGTGGAATTGAATAAGTGTTTTGAGAAATTTGAAGTTATAATGGAGATATGAGTTAGGTTGATATCGATTTAGTTATCGATTTTATTTTATAGATTCTCAAATGTCAAAAATGAGCTTATGTTAGAACGATACTAATATGTAGTTTAAACATTTTCTGTTATAATTTGGTATTGTCAGATTACAATAAAACTAACAATCCGAACAATCTGAAAGGATATGACAAAGCTTGTGATTAGTATTATCGTATACAAGTTCTTAAGTGAGGCAAAGGTGAGTGCAATTTATTTATTTAATTATTTTGATCAAGGACGACTTGCGATAAGTTAACCTCACCTTGTTTATTTCAAAGATATGAATTATGTTTTGATTATGAAATTATATCCATAATTTCTTTAATAAGTTTTATGAAAGTTTTTGGACATGAACTGTCCATGTCACATTTTAAGAATGTGAATTAAATATATTTTCGACTCTGATATGATGTTTATCAAATGGTTAAGAAATGAACTAAAAGCCCAATGTATGTTATATTCAGAGTCAAAGGTACAATTGGCATGCCATGAGGTGGAGTGATTATCTGTTCTGATTTTGATATATTGTGGTGTACCGGAGTGTACACTAGTATATATATATATATATTCTGATATGAATGCACTTGGTGTGCATATTATTATTTCCGATGTGATAGCACTGTGTGTGCTTATCTGTTCCGACTGATGATATGATATCTGTATTGCGCACACTCGTCTGACTCACGTATCTTATATTCTCTTAAAATATACTTTGGGCTATAAAAATGAAATAAGAAAGTTCTGAAAAGTGTTTGACTACAAAGGAATATGGACTGATTTTTTCTGTCTGATCTGATTTATTATGATTTTGTGAAAATTATCAGATGATTCTTTTCAGGTTTATGATAAAGTTCAACATGAGATATCTGGTTTGAATGTTCTGAAGAAATTCAGTCTGTTTTATTTTAATGATTTTATATATTTTGATATTTTATTTAATTATTCTCACCTTAAGTATTACTGCCTCACTAAGTTATACTTAGCGCGTGATAATTTTCATGCGTAGGTTCTAGTAAGGATAAGTACGATCAGTAAGGAGCTATCAGAGCATCTTTTGGAAAGACATACATATCATCAGTATCAGTAAGGCATCTATGATGTTTCCTTTGACTTATAGTGGCATGTATAATTATGTCGGTGATTTCTATTTATCGTATTTATTTATAATAATCTGTAATAGTAAACTAGAACTATTTTAGTTTATTTTACTTAGATTAGTGTTATCAGTATTTATGCATGAAAAGAATATATTATGTTATTATGTTTTTTTTTTAAGATTTCACGAAAAGACATGGTTTAGTAAAATTACTGATTAACAAATGAATTTATTTTCTTGTAATAAAGAAATAAATTATAGTTGAGATATACTTTTAAAATAGATTTTTAAAGTTAGAATAAGAGTGTTTTCAAATGAAACAAATTTTAGGCAAATTTCAGTTCAGTAAATGTATTTAAGTTGATGTGACATCTTTGACTCGTATATTGAGACGTATACGGGTTAAGGGTGTTACATTTATTGGTATCAGAGCTACAGATTTAGTCGATTCTCGGCCTAAACTGAGCCTATAATATGTCAAAAATATGCACATGCCAATAGGATATCGAAATTATTGATATGGTATGATATGATGATTTTATTTATGATGCTGCTCCTTACTAACGTAAATTTGTGCTTTTGTTTAGATGTCGGGTTCGAAAGGCATAAGACAGGCCACCGAACAAGAGGTTCCCAAGGGAACTGGTAGTGGGAGTAGTAACGAAGTAGAGCACGTACCTCAACGTCAAGGAGAGCATGTACATCAAGGAGTACCTGCTCCAGATTAGGGAACTTTCTTACAAGCTCTAGAGGCTATACTGGCTCGATATCAGCCATCAACAGCACCTCCTCTTCCCTCTGCCTCCACCTCTTTCTCCAGTTTTGAGAATATCGGTTTCGAAAGAATTAAAAAGTTTAGGAGATGTAGAATTTAAAGGCGAAGCAAACGAAGGCCCAGTAGAAGCATATATGTGGTTGAATGATGTGAAAATAATGTTGGACAATCTTCATTGTTCTGATGATGAAAGATTGGAGGGAGTAGTTTTATTATTACGAGGTTAGGCTCATATATGGTGGACGAACGTGACGACACGTGTTCCTCCAGATCATATCATATGGCAGTTTTTCTTAGAAGCATTTCAGAAGAAATATATTGGAGAGCAGTTTATTACTGAGATGAAGCATGATTTCTTTAATCTGATTCAGGGTGGTAAATCGGTGTACGAGTATGAATGTGAGTTTAATAAACTTGCTCGATATGCCTCAGAGATGATTCCTACTGAAAGAGATAAATGTCAGAAATTTATTCGAGGTCTTCGTCCCACACTCAAGGAACTTCTGTTGGCTGCGAACTTGACTACTTTTCAGGAAGTAGTGAACAAAGAAAAAGATTTGGAAATGACACAAAATGAGAATCTTCTGATAGAGCAGAGACGATAATCTAAAAGATCTGGAGCATCATCATCTTTTTCAGTCTAAAAGAGGTCGAGGTTCCGGTTATCGATATCAAAATAAAACTGAAAGTAGTGCTTCTAGTCGTAAAGGATTTGAGGCAAAAGAAAAAGGTCGACAGACTCTTATGACAGTTTTAGGAGCCAGTAGATCAGCTCGATCACATGATCAGATATTGCTATGTCAGTATTGCGGTAAAAATCACCCTGGAGTTTATAGAATGAAGACTGGAGCTTGTTTCTGTTGTGGAGATACCAATCACTTTGTCAGAGATTGCCCTTTAATTGGGGAGTGATCAGTACAAACAGAAAGGTCTGTAGCAGTATCTCAGAGAGGCGGTAGAGGCAGAGGTAGAGGGAGGGGATATTCTGAGACAGCCTCCCAGTCTGACGTTCGTGCTCCAGCGAGAATTTATAACATCAAGACTAATGATGATCGTGACGACCCAGAGATCATAGTAGGTACTTTCTATCTTTATGATGAGCCTATATTTGTTTTGATTGATCCGGGTTCTATGCATTCCTATGTTAGTTCGGAATTAGTTAAAAATAAGAATATTCCGTTAGAACCCATCAATAGTGATATGATAGCTATAAATCCACTGGGTCATAGTGCTAGAGTCACAAGGATTAGCAGAAATTGTTCGCTAAAGATTCAAGGGGTTATATTCCCAACGAATCTTTTGGAGTTACCGTTTGATGAGTTTGAGATTATATTGGGCATGAATTGGTTATCTCGACATTATGGTTGGGTAGATTGTCGCATGAAGTGATTATTTATAAAGGATGCAAAGGGTACCGAGATAATAGTAATTGGAGAAAAAATGGGGTCTTTGCCTAATGTACTATCAGCTTTTATGGCAATGAAAATGATGGAAAAAAGTTGCACAGCTTTCTTAGCAAATGTACTCGATACCCGGACATCTGAAATTCGATTAGAGAATATTCCGACAGTTCGAGAATTTTCAGATGTATTTCTTGATAATTTTTACCTGGATTACCTCCTGATCGAGAAGTGGAATTTAAAATTGAAGTTTTCCCAGGTACATCTCCTATTTCAATGGCTCCATATAGGATGGCTCCAACGGAACTCAGAGAACTAAAGGCGCAATTATAGGAGCTATTAGATCGAGGTTTTATTAGACCGAGTGTATCTCCATGGGGTGCACCAGTATTTTTTGTTAAAAAAAGATGGCTCGATGCGATTATGTATAGATTATCGTAAACTGAATAAGGTGACAGTGAAGAATAAATACCCTCTTCCAAGGATCGATGATCTGTTTGATCAGCTCAAGGGTGCTTCAGTATTTTCAAAAATTGATCTTCGATCAGGGTATCATCAGCTAAAGATAAAAGAGGAAGATATTCCAAAGACAGCTTTCAGAACTCGATATGGTCATTATGAGTTTGTTGTGACGCCGTTTGGACTAACCAATGCTCCAACAACATTTATGGATTTGATGAATCGAGTCTTTCAGTCGTATTTGGATCAATTTGTGGTTGTGTTCATTGATGATATTTTGGTGTATTCTAAGACTATGGAAGAGCACGACACACATCTCCGTATCGTACTTCAGATATTACGAGATAAAAAGTTATATGCTAAATTATCAAAATGTGAATTTTGGCTGTCAGAGGTTGCCTTTCTGGGTCACGTGATTTCAGCAGAAGGAATTAGAGTAGATCCTAAGAAAGTACAAATGGGTAGTAGAGTGGAAACCTCCGAAAAATGTTTCTGAAGTCCGAAGTTTCTTGGGGTTAGCTGGATATTATCGGAGATTTGTGAAGAATTTTTCAATAATTGCATCTCCACTTACCAAACTACTTCGAAAGGATGTACCATTCATCTGGAATGAAAAGTGTCAAGAAAGTTTTGAGAAGCTTAAAAAGATTCTGACTGAGGCACCGGTATTAGTACAACCAGAGTCAGGAAAAGATTATGTAATCTACAGTGATGCATCCCATAATGGTTTGGAATGTGTTTTAACTCAAGAAGGTAAAGTGGTAGCGTATGCTTCAAGGCAGTTAAAGACGCACGAACGAAATTATCCGACACATGATTTGGAGCTAGCAGCTGTAGTGTTTGCTCTGAATATATGGCGCCACTATTTATATGGTGAGCGATGCTATATTTATACAATCATAAGAGTTTAAAATATTTTCTCACTCAGAAAGAGTTAAATCTAAGGCAAAGGAGATGGATTGAACTTCTTAAAGACTATGATATGATTATTGATTATCATCCTGGGAAGGCTAATGTGGTAGCTGACGCACTTAGCCGAAAAATCTTTGCTGCTATGAGAGCGTTAGATGCACGACTATCAATGGAAGATGATGGTGCATTGATTGTAGAATTGAGATTGAGACCTGCCCTATTGGATCGTATCAAGGATCTTCAGAATAAAGATAAGAAGTGTTAAGATAGAATAGAGCAAGCAAAGAAAGGAGAAATGACATATTTTGAAATTAAGTCTGATGGATGTTTGTATTATCGGAATCGAATTTGCATACTCGATGATGAAGAACTGAAGAAAGATCTTCTTTCTGAAGCTCATTATAGTCCTTTGACTATGCATCCAGGAGGAAACAAAATGTATCAAGATTTAAAGAGTCGGTATTGGTGGGCAGGTATGAAAAGAGATATCACTGAGTTTGTTTCTAAATGTCTAACCTGTCAGCAGGTAAAAGTAGAACACCAAGTACCTTCGGGGTTGTTGCAACCTATCTCAATTCCTCGATGGAAATGGGAACGAGTTACCATGGATTTTGTGACAGGTTTATCTTTGACACCTAGTAAGAAAGATTCGATCTGGGTAATAGTGGATAGATTGACAAAGACAACACATTTTATCCCAGTTTGAGAAGATTATTCTATGAACAAGTATGCTGAGTTATATATCAGAGAAATAGTACGACTTCATGGAGTACCCATTTCGATAGTTTCTGATAGAGATCCGAGATTCACTTCGAGATTTTGGAAGTCTTTGCATGAGGCATTGGGAACTAGACTAAATTTCAGCACATCTTATCATCCTCAGACAGATGGTCAATTTGAAAGAACTATTCAGATACTTGAAGACATGCTAAGGGCGTGTGTTATTGATTTTAAAGGATCGTGGGAAAAGTATTTGCCTTTAGCAGAGTTTGCTTATAATAACAGTTATCAATCAAGTATCAAAATGGCTCCTTTTGAAGCATTGTTTGGAAGAAAATGTCGAACACCACTGAATTGGTACGAATTAAAAGATCGAGATGTAATTGGTCCAGATCTAATTAAGGAGGTGGAAGACAAAGTGAAAGTAATCCAAGATAATCTCAAGATAGCAGCTGATAGACAGAAATCTTATGCTGATTTAAAAAGAAAAGAGATTGAATATCAAGTGGGTGATAAGGTATTTCTTAAGGTGTCACCTTGGAAAAAGATTCTAAGATTTGGACGAAAAGGGAAATTGAGTCCAAGATTTATCGGGCCATACGAGATTGTAAAGAGAGTTGGATCAGTAGCTTATCAGTTGGCGTTACCTCCAGAGTGGACAAGATTCATAATGTATTTCATGTATCAATGCTTCGAATATATCGATCAGATCCTTCACATGTAGTTACACGGGAGGAAATTGAGATTCAGCTAGATTTATCATACGAAGAGGAGCCAGTAAAGATTTTAACACATGAAGTCAAATAACTAAGAAATAAGACGATTCCATTAGTAAAAGTTCTTTGGCGAAAAAATAAAGTTGAGGAATCAACTTGGGAACGAGAAGAAGACATGAAGAAAAAGTTTCCTTATCTATTTAATTCAGGTATGTAAATACATATGGAAAATTCGAGGACGAATTTTATTTAAGGGGGAGGAATTGTAATACCCTAAAATTTGTCTAGTGACTAAAATGTAAGTTTTGAAAGTTTTGTGATTAAAGTACAATTTTGAAAAAAAATTATATAGTTTAGCCCGAAAATGAATAAGTTGGTCTAAAACAAGGATTTTCGTGGGAATCATATTTTCGGTACGAGATTTGTGTTAAAGTTTATAAAACGGTAAAGTTCGGTATTAAATCGGATAATCAGATCGAATCAAAATTTCACAAAAATGTGAAGGATGCTAGATAAAGGTTGGAAATATTATTTATATATTTTAGAAAAATGAAATTTAACATGGATCAATGGAATTAATGTCGATTTTCCATGTTAAGCTGAAATTTTGGAATTAGGTGACTAAATTGTAATTTTCAAAAATTACAAGACAAACATGAAGAATCAGAATTAAGATATTTTTATGGATATGATGAGGTAAGGGATGATGTCATGGATTGGCATGGGTGTAATTTTGGGAATTCATTAATGGTAAGTTAGTCTTTTGGCCTAAAATGAATAAAAAAAATAGTTATAATTGATTTTTTAAGGGTTAAAGTAGGAGATTTTTTTGGAATGCTCGTGAACTTCTCTTCTCTCCTCCAGCAGGTTGCTGAAACCCATAGCCAAGGTAAGTAAATTTATTTTCTTCCATTTTTGACCAAATTTAGTGAGTTTTGGGACTAAAACGTGAAATAAGAAATTCACCTACACTAATTTCTCTATAAGATGGTGTAATTAATTCTTGGTTTCATGTTTGAAAGGTGGTAGTGGGTGATTTATGTGGATGAAGGGGAAGTTTGATTTTTATGATTAAAGATTGATTCTTGATATTAGAAGTGTGGTAAGAATTGATGAAGAACCTAAGGATGCAAATTAAAGAAAATAGTTTAGATTTTGAATTTGGCAGTGAGTTTGAAAATTCACCAGAAATTCTATAAAAAATATTTGGAGGTTATTTTTGTATATTATGTTCTTATATCAATCTAGTTTTTTTTTAAACAAACGGGGATCAATTTCAAGGTGTATAAAAAAAGATATGAATTTTTAACCGAGGAAAGGTCAGGAAAACGGGCAGCAGATTCTTCATAAAATAGATTCTATCAGTCAACTTTGAAAATTCACCATAAATTTTACAGATTGAATTAGAAGGAGTTATTTATATGTATAGATTCTTATTCGAGTCTAGTTTTCAACGGAAGAAATGGAATTAAATTTCAGTGAGTGTATCAATACAACAAATTGATTCTTTAAAGGTAGTGCAAGTTGTCTGAATATGGAAACTTTAGAATTTAAGTTGAAATGGATTAGAAGATGAAGAGTAATTTTTAAATGTAAAAGTATCATTTGGGTGAGTTAGAATAATTCTGGAAATTTTGGAAAGTGTGCTGATTTTTGGAGTTTAAGTATTAAGTTGAGATTGAATTTCAAGTTTATCAAGTTGTAAGGTTGAAGTATTGATTTGAACTTTTATTTTAGTTGTTGGAAATTTTATATATTTAATGGGAAATGATCATAATAGTGAAGAGCTATTATGAAATTAAAGGAAAAGTTGAGTTTAATTCTGGAAAGAATTTAAAATATGTGGTTTGATTTTATAATTGGTAAAAGTTGAAGATCGTGATGGGAATAATTATTTGTGGAATTGAATAAGTGTTTTGAGAAATTTGAAGTTATAATGGACTTATGAGTTAGGTTGATATCGATTTAGTTATCGATTTTATTTTATAGATTCTCAAATGTAAAAAATGAGCTTATGTTAGAACGATACTAATATGTAGTTTAAACATTTTGTGTTATAATTTGGTATTGCCAGATTACAATAAAACTAGCAATCCGAACAATCTGAAAGGAAAGGACAAAGCTTGTGTTTAGAATTATCGTATACAAGTTCTTAAGTGAGGCAAAGGTGAGTGCAATTTATTTATTTAATTATTTTGATCGAGGACGACTTGCGATAAGTCAACCTCACCTTGTTTATTTCAAAGATATGAGTTATGTTTTGATTATGAAATTATATCCATAATTTTTTTAATAAGTTTTATGAAAATTTTTGGACATGAACTGTCCATGTCACATTTTAAGAATGTGAATTAAATATATTTTAGACTCTGATATGATGTTTATCAAATGGTTAAGAAATGAACTAAAAGCCCAATGTATGTTATATTGAGAGTCAAAGGTACAATTGGCATGCCATGAGGTGGAGTGATTATCTGTTCTGATTTTGATATACTGTGGTGTACCGGAGTGTACACTAGTGTATATATATATATTCTGATCTGAATGCACTTGGTGTGCATATTGTTATTTCCGATGTGATAGCACTGTGTGTGCTTATCTGTTCCGACTGATGATATGATATCTGTAATGCGCACACTCGTCTGACTCACGTATCTTATATTCTCTTAAAATATACTTTGGGCTATAAAAATGAAATAAGAAAGTTCTGAAAAGTGTTTGACTACAAAGGAATATGGACTGATTTTTTTGTCTGATCTGATTTATTATGATTTTGTGAAAATTAGCAAATGATTCTTTTCAGGTTTATGGTAAAGTTCAATATGAGATATCTGGTTTGAATGTTCTGAAGAAATTCAGTCTGTTTTATTTGAATGATTTTATATATTATGATATTTTATTTAATTATTCTCACCTTTAGTATTACTGCCTCACTAAGTTATACTTAGCGCGTGATGATTTTCATGCGTAGGTTCTAGTAAGGATAAGTACTATCAGTAAGGAGCTATCGGAGCATCTTTTGGAAAGACATACATATCATCAGTATCAGTAGGACATCTATGATGTTTCTTTTGACTTATAGTGGCATGTATAATTATGTCGGTGATTTCTATTTATCGTATTTATTTCTAATAATCTGTAATAGTAAACTAGAACTATTTTAGTTTATTTTACTTAGATTAGTGTTATCAGTATTTATGCATGAAAAGAATATATTATGTTATTATGTTTTTTTAAGATTTCACGAAAAGACATGGTTTAGTAAAATTACTGATTAACAAATGAATTTATTTTCCTGTAATAAAGAAATAAATTATAGTTGAGATATACTTTAACAATAGATTTTTAAAGTTAGAATAAGAGTGTTTTCAAATGAAACAAATTTTTAGGTAAATTTCAGTTCAGTAAATGTATTTAAGTTGATGTGACATCTTTAACTCGTATATTGAGACGTATACGAGTTAAGGGTGTTACAAAAAATATCCTTTCAGTCCATCTTAACATGTAAATGTTTTTTTTCAATATTTTCTTTTTGGAAGTATCCCAACACCCATTCAACAACGCAACACCAAATACATTATGAATCTCAATTAAATATGTATCACCAATATCCAGTTTAAATTGCACACGATCAAGGATTTCTCATGTTAAACTTTGCAGGACAACTTCACCGCCAGAGTAATTCTTTGCCACTCACTACAAGAAAATATTCCTTTAATGACACACGAACGATGACACACGCTAATTTATGACTTGTAAAACATGTGTGTCATAAAAAATGTCATGTTTTTTAAAATCTTAACGATTTATGACTTACTGTAATATGTGTCATATTTAATAGTCATAATCCAAAAAATTTGCAAAAACACGGAGTACACTTTTTAATTGTGTGTCATTTGTAAAAGTCGTCTTTTAATTTCCCCCCATTATTTTCATCATTTCCCGCTTCTTCCCCTCATAATCAGTTCACGCCTAATGTTTTGCACTTCTTTCATTCTCTCTTTTTCTCTCCAATGCCAAAACCCTAACTTACTTTCTTTATTTTCCTAAAAGCTTCTCTCTCCGTGTTTTTTGTTTTTTTAGTAACATTCTTTAAATTATTTCCATTTCCTTTTTCTTTTCCCCCTCCTGGTTTGTGGTCAGGGGTTCGAGTTTTTAAGATGGATATTGAGCAAAAGCAAGCCGATTTCATCGATCACTTCGTTAAGCAAGCGTCGGCTCAGAAGGGGACAACCCTTGTTTCCATTATCGTCGAAGCGATGTCTCATTCTTCACTCTTCGCCTTCTCTGAGATTCTTGTCGTGCCTACCATCGCTGAGGTAAAAACCTATTCCGTTATCAGTTTCTTTTATTTTCTTTCCCCTACTTTCCTCAATCTGAGAAATAAAAGCCGTCATCAGTTATTTTTTATTGCACATAGCTTAATAACATTTCTTCCTGTTTCTTTTTATGTGAATATAGTCTGGTGTTTTAGTTTTATTCATTGCTTCACTTTTGATTTGATGCTTTAGTTTACTTTTAATTTATAAGAAACCTATATACCTTTGCAGCTTGATGGAACTAAAAACTCGATGTACCTGGAGGTGCTTCGGTTGTTTTCCCATGGCACATGGAACGATTACAAGAGTAAGCTAGAAAACCTGTGTTTTATTGTTTGTGACACGTTTGTGATGTTTTCAATACACTTGTTTCACTTGTACCCATATTTTTTCTATTCGAGATATTTTGAAGATCATTAGTAGTAAACATTTGTCACTACCGTGTAAATCTTTTCAAGATTACCAGTTTTACTCTTTTAAATGTTACCCTTCACTTAATTAATCCACTTGATTATTTCTGTCTTTGATTGTTGTTATTGTAACATCCCAAAATACGGGTTAGTGACTAAATTGTAAAACTTCAGAGTTTGGTGATTGAAGTAGGATATTTGAATAGTTTAATGATTTATGTGGAGATATTTCCTGAAAGTTATTAGTAAATATTAAAGGAGTCAAAGGGCAATTGAGTAATTGAACAAGGAAAATAATTAAATAATAATTAATGAGTATTATAATACCCATGTGGAGAATGATTGAAGAGATAAGCTTCAAAGCAATTCTCTTCTTCATCTTCTTTTCTTCTCCACGTGACAACTCAAAGCAAAGGTGAGTTTGCTATTTTGTTAATTATTTGTTGTTTTAAAAGTTGGGTTATGATCACTAGATGATAACTAAGCTTAAGGAAAGCTTAAGTTATCTTATAGTCAAAAGATGAAGAAGTTATAAGAGATTTAAGAAAATGAGTTTTTATATAAAATCATGGAATAGAGTCGATAAGTTGAATTTTAAGTTTAATTTGACTTGTCATCTATGAGAATAAGAGGTTAGAAGTGTTAGAATTAAGTTTGGATAATATGGAAAATTTGGTATAATTATTGAATTCTATATAGAGAATAGAATTTTGAGGTTTAAGATGAAATAAATGAATATAAGTTGGTTTAAGTAATGGTGGTTGGGTTTAATGGCATGATAGGAGTTTAAAATAGAAGAATTGAGTGAAGAATTGATGATTTTCGAGCTCGAAATACAATTTATGGGCATAGGGAACCGATACCCTATGAAGGGAATCGATTCCCCCTCTTGGACGAAAATTTCCAGAATGTCCAGGGGGTACAGATTCCCCTGGGGGGTATCGATTCCCTGGGAATAGATTCCCCTGGGGGTATCGATTCCCCCCTAAATAAAAAATGGAATTTGATTCATTAAATCGGTTTAAGTTATTAACATCAAGTTTAAAGTTTAGGCTTCTGATAGTTGTTTTGAAATGATATATTTATGTAGATATTGAGCCTAAACAAGTTCCGGAATAATCAAAGGATTATAATCGAATCAAAGCAAGGCTAAGGTGAGTGCAATTTAATTTGTACTTATATTATTGAATAAACATTGGCTTGCGATGAGCTAGTGATAGAGTTACTATGGTAAGAAGTAACTCCTAAAATGTGATTTGATTGGTAATCTATGTGATGATTTGTGTGATTATGGGATATGTGTTAAAAGACAATGATCTAAATGACTACATGAATCATGTGGTATAAGTTATGTGATTACATGTATGTATTAATACATATTGCTTGCATTACATGTTAGTGTGATTATGAATAGGTAGAAAGGAAACAAATGATGATATAAGAATCTATTATAAGATATATGATATTAAAATATGATAGTGAGCTATGTGAAAGAACTATGAGATATATGAGTTATATGGAAAATATATGCGAACAAGATATGACATCTATGTTTATATGAAACATTGCAAGGTGATATGAGCTATGTGAGATATGGATATAAAATCATATGAGAAGTGAAAAGAATTACATGAAAATAGACTAAGTAATTACATGTATATGTGAAAGAAGCTATGAGCTTATATGAATATGTGATATGAATGAAGCTATATGATACGATCTATGTGATTACATACACATATGATATATGTTATATGAAATGACATATGAATAGGCAATACGTGATACATGTGATATGATATGGAATACATGGTTACACATACATGTGGTATGTGACAGAAGAGAAATGACAAGTAATGTGAACTGTTAAATGATAATGCTCATGTTATGTGATATGAGAGCTAGGGTATAGTTGGCATGCCAAGGGTCGAGGGTTTACCTATATTCTTCGGGACATATGGACTGTTTACCTATGTTCTTCGGGACATATGGACTGTTTACCTATGTTCTTCGGGACATATGGACTGTTTACCTATGTTCTTCGGGACATATGGACTGTTTACCTATGTTTTTCGGGACATATGGACTGTTTACATATGTTCTTCGGGACATATGGACTGATTACCTAGGTTCTTCGGAATCTATGAACTGGTCCTTTGGGACATTGATCGAGCTGTGGTGACAGCATATGTGTGCACAACCTCAATGTACTCACATACCTTAAGTTCTCACTAGTGTACATGGGCTAATAAAGTGATTAAACAAGCATACTGAATGTGATATGTATACGATAGGTTTATAAATGGTTATCAAAGGTAAGTGGTTTGAAATGTGTTACATGAACCATATGATGTTATGTGTGTTTCTTAATGATAATGATAGAGATTATGATAATAATGGTATATGTTTATGTATGCTTTATGTTATATGAAATATTATATGTTTTATATGCCTCACTAAGTCATCGACTTAGCGTGTGATTGTTTCACACGTAGGTTTGGAAAGCGAAAAGAAAAGTAAAGACGAACAAGACAGGTCAGTTCTCCTTACCGAATGTCAGATCAGAAGAGAGGTGAATAATATGTATTTTTGTATATAAAGTTCTAGTTGGCATGTAATCAAAAGAATATATTGTATAAGCTCTGAATAATTTTGTAAATGTTTTGAATAATTTAAATGTTATAAAAGTTTTTAAATTACTCACTATTTTATACGAATAAATTTTTGAAAAGTCAATGTGACACTTCGGACTCGTATCCTGGTCGGATACGGGTTGGGGGTGTTACAGTTATAGTTATTATTCACATCATAATGTGACCAACTCTGGCTACTTAAACTATTTGATTAGGCAATAGTGGCAGCCTTCCTCAATTGGTCCCTGATCAAGTTCTCAAGTTAAAGCAACTCAATGTCCTTACACTTGCTGAGACGAACAAGGTATTGTAGTTGAGTTAAGAGGGCATTTGATCATCTAAATATGCTATAGTTGCCAGCCTCGTTCCATTTTAGTGGTTATAGTTATTTTGATATTCTTTGAACGTGCCACTTTGACTTCGTAACGTGAAGAAACCAAGTCTTTATAATATCTTGAAAAATTTTAATGCCTTTCTGAATTGTTTTATTCCACTTTATAATTGAAATGGATATACCTTTTGTCTGACAATGGCACTATAGGTTGTAAATGTTGGTTGTATCAAGTCCATTGGATGTTTTGTTGAATTTTAAGGGAAATGAGTTCTACTAGAGGTGCAAATATACTGAAAGTGTGTTGATTTTTGTTCATTTTTCCCAACCTTTTTGTTAGGGTATAGTCAGAGGAAAGTTGGATCAGTTGCGAAGATGTTTAGAGGTATACTGTCATTTCCTCTCAAGAATTTTCCTTTAAATTTATTTTTCTTCACTGATTAAAATCTTTAATATTTGTTCTGGAAGATCCAATTTGCTGCTGGGAGGGATTTAAGGCCAGGACAACTTGGGAGTATGATAGAAACACTGTCGAACTGGTAACATCTCTGGTTCAAATAGAGCATTTCATCAAGTCCTCTGCCCATACTTCATTTATAGTTGCTACTGTGTGATTTTCTATTAAATTTTTTGATTTGTTCATTAGAGTTATTTAGTCCAAGTAGACCTGACAGAATACAAAGTTGAATTTGATAAATTTGCAAGATCCTTTAATTGGAGCAGAGTGTAGAGCGATGTTTCAAGAAGCAGAAGTTGATGATAGGTTTTTAATGATTTTATTTCTTATTGTGGAACATCTCCGAAAGAATTCTTCGTGGAAACCGTATGTACTTAACATATTTGATTGTTTTCTTTTAGTTTTCTTTTATTTATTATTTATGTGGATTTAAAGATTGGTTCAGGTATCTTGATATGCTTCCCACCACTTTTGGGAATCCGTTATGGTTTACCGATGATGAGATGCTGGAATTGAGAGGAACAATCTTGTATAGAGAAACTGAATTGCGGGTAAATATAATCATATAGTTTAACGTTTCTCTTGAAGATGAAATGCATGTAATTTGACTACCCATGATGATGAAAGTTAGTGTAATTGTTTTATAGAAAAAGGATTTGATTTCTGTGTACGAAGATAAAGTGAAGGGTTTGGTGAAGAAACTTCTTGCTCTTGATGGAGTTTCAGAAAGGTCGGTATTAATTACATCGAATAAAGTAGGAATCAAGTGTGTTTATTTTCCTTTTTCGCAATTATGAATTGTTGTTAATGCTTCTTTTGCAGTGAGATATACTTTGAAGATTTCCTTTGGTAGGGATCTCCTCAAAATGAACTATTTCTTATTCTCTCTCAAAATGGGGTGGGTGGGGACAATGAAGGAGATTGACTATGATATGATGACATTCCTTGCACTTCAAACTTTGGTGGTTAATACTGCGTGATTTCTATAATGCTAGGGCGAATTCTATATTTTGGTCTCGTGCTCTGAACCTTCCTCTTCCACATTATTATGTATTTCCCCAAATTCAAGAAGATACCGAGACAACCTGTCCAGTTGAAAGAAGTTCTGAGGTGACCATCAGTCATAGTGGACTAAGTGGAGAGCCTGTTAATGAAATTGATGGAGAAAGTGAGGTTACACTTTAGTTCTTACCACTTTTGTGCCTAGATCTTTCCTCTTATTTCCTTTCACAGGTGAAAGTTTACTGTATTAACATGGAGCTGAGGTTAAATATTTTTATTTATTTTGGGTTTATATCAGGATTTGAGGGTCATGAGAATGATAACAAAGTTAATGGAGCAACTTCCACATCGAAACAAGAAGAAACTGTCTGGGTGGAGGGTCTTCTCCCTGGTATTGACTTTTGCAACCATGGTATGTTAGTTTTTATTAGTCAGTGGCTCTCTAGTCAATTAATTAGAGTCTATTCTCATTGAATTTTTTGGTTGTTAATTTTATTTTTAGACTTGAAGGCAGTGGCAACATGGGAAGTTCCTGTCCCAAAGGTAAGCATTAATGCATTATTATTTGTAATCAATAAGCTTAATTCTCAGTATTATTGGAAACGTTCTTTAATAAAATGTAAGTTCCACTGTCAATATGCCTTTTTTTCCTAATATTTTATGTGTTGTTAATTAGTTCCATTTGTATGGGGCTCTGCTGCTATGCTTTTAACCGATCTATGAATTTCTTGTTTTTGCCTTTATGATATCCTTTGTGTATTCTATTTTTCATGCATATAGCATCGCAAGCCTATTTCAAAGTTAAATTACTATTATTAGTCTATTCCTGAGGACATTTAACTTATATGTGACTTCTGTGGTTACCAGCTGATCGGTATGTAGTTTAGTAATCTAATTTGCTAAATCAGTGCGATTGAGTAATTCCTATTTCCATACTTTATGCATTATTGTCCGTCTTTCCCACCTTAGAGGGATTGTAATTGGAGTTCTATGTGCCAAGGTGGGTATTTGATTTGTATTATATTTCCCGTTTAGAAGTTGTGAATTAAGCATGCTGATAAACATAATTGAATTATTTTGATTCTTAGTTTTGACATAATTGGTCTGCTTAGCGTTGTACTATTCTTGTTCCTTATCACTTCATTTTCAATTTTCTTTTGCAGATATACAATGAGCAAATAACAAATTTATTGGATCCAAATCAAAGAAACCTGCAGGTAAAATGGATTATTATTTAACTTTTCAGTTTCCAAATCAATGTTGTTTTGTAACTTTTCTATATATTGGTAATTGTTGATGAAACTTAGATGGAGTTTTATTGGTTTTATGGCTTAATTGGGTAAATCCAGAGAAACATTGTGGATTTTGTGATATAATCCTTCTGATACACAAAAAAAAAAAACTGATTTTTGGCTTTTTGTTGGACTGTACATGGATGCTTAAGTTGTCTCAATCTAACCTAGATATCAAGATATATGCGTTAATTTGTTAGAGATTGGATTTATCTAAATTCACGTAGACCAAGAAAGTTTAGTTCAATGCCCTCCTTTGTTTGATTGATTAAGGATGTTCAGAGTTTAGACCCACTATGTTACTCCTTATAATCATTGGAATCTATAACTAATTTTGGTAAATAGATATCAATCACCTTTTCCTATGAGCGAAATAGAATTCAGTAGCAAGTTTGAAAAAAAATCATCATTATAACCGAGAAGAATGGGGGAATTACCCATATGTAAATAGACTTATCCCCTTAAAAAAACAGTGTAGCTGTGAGAAATGAAAAGTAAAGCTTTTAAAGCTTAATATACCTTTACCACAAATTTACTTGATTTTTCGTTCTTTTCATATTACTTAGTGATGAGTGATGACTTGATAACCATAAATGAAAATGTTTGCTCTTTACAAATGTTTGGACTACTTTATGTTCTCACCTGAAGATAGTTGATGCTTGATTAATATATGAAAAGTATTAATTCCTATATGTCATCAACAGTTGGTTCAAATAAGGAGTGGAAACCAAAGGTGATCAGCTCTAATTTTGGGAAGGGTTTGGGAACAGCTGGTTCATCTAATGTTCCTACTAGTTCAGTTGAAGCCAATGCTCATTCGCAGCCTGTTTCAAGTGTTCTCGACTCTGAAGAAGCAACTTCAAAATTGCAGAAGAAGCTAGAGGAGTTACATCTAAGATCTTATAATCTGTTAGTATCTTCTTGTGATAATCTGAGAACATTCTTGGTTTTTTTTTTTATTCAAATAGCCATAGGTGATGGATATTATGTTTGTAACTTAATGTGAATATATTGTATGCAAATGGATTACTTATATATAATATGATATATATATTTAGTATTATGAGGCATTAAATGTGATTTAGTTTGATTATTTGTCAATCTACAATATATATATATATATATATATATATATATATATAACAATAATTTACGAAATACAATCACGACACACGAATGTCTGTCATCTTTTTAATGGCGTGTGCTTCAATGACACGTAATGTAAGTCATACATGCGTGTCATAAATTTATGACACACAAATGTGTGTCATCTTAATTTATGACGGGGCTTCAATGACGCTCAATGAACGTCATAAATGCGCGTCATAAATGTGTGTCATAAATGCGCGTCATAAATTTATGACGCACAATTGCGCGTCATCTTAAAATCATGTTGGTGGCTTCAACGACAGACAAATGTGTTTCATCCACACCCATAGATGACACGCAATGCACGTCATTAAAAGGGTTTTTTCTACTAGTGACTGAACCGTCAACAGAAACAATATGACAACTGAAAATTAGAGTTATGCAATGCAATTTTCATCCAGTTTCCTCATTTGTTCTTCATAATTATGTATTTGATCTTTAAATTAATGTATAATTTCTTCTAATTATTCGGAAGACAAAACATTGAATTCATATATTTTTTCTATATATAAAAAAATCGGATCAAATAACATCTCAATAAACAATTGGATTATTCACTACTCACACCAGCTAATTCAATAATCAAAGATTATAAGTGAAATTTGTATGCAATGAATCTACTTTGTAGCATTACCAATCTAAACATAAAACTTTAGTAAAATACCAAAGCTTACATAGTGAAAATTTCTTTTTCCCGTTTGAGATTTTCACGTAAATTCTGAAGTTCTTATTTTTCTTGTTCCATAAGTTTGTTTGCCATTAACCGATAACTTATAACATAGATAGCACCGAAACATATCTCTCGTGTCTTATCTGTAGAAGGTTGTGTTGAAGCTGGATTTGCACGATGCAGAAGATTTTGAAGGCAATTTCAACCATGGGCGGAACTTCCAAGAACGAAGAGGAGCCTTGGGCCCTGTAAAATTTTCTTTTAAGTATTAATAAATATTAAAAAATACATTAAAAATAAATAAATAAAAAACTTTACCCTATCTTCCTCAATTAAAAAAATTGTATTTATAAAAAATAAAAAAATGTCTCCTTCGGATTTACCCGATTATACAAAGCTTTAATTTTTATGGAGTATCGGACACTTGCGTTCGAATTTAAGTAACATATTTGAGCTGGCCATGTAAAAGTAGTGATCTCTCCTTTGGATTTAACTTGCCCGGAATTGATTCCATTGGCATGGATATGAAGACAAAGCAGTTAACAGTGATTGGCACAGTCGACCCCGTGAACGTGGTGAGCAAACTGCGCAAGTACTGGCCAATCGACATCGTATCGGTCGGTCCGGCAATAGAACCGGAGAAGAAAGAGGAGCCAAAGAAGGAAGAAGGGGAAAAGAAAGAGGAGCAGAAGAAAGTAGATGGAGAAAAGAAAGAAGAGGAGAAGAAGCCACGGTCACCACCAGACCCTGTTTTGGAACTTGTCAAGGCTTACAGAGCGTACAATCCTCATATGACCACTAAAATTGAAGTTTTACTTGAGGTTCACTAAAATTAAAGTCGGCAGCATATTTTACTTGTATTATTTAAAGTTTTAATTAATTAATTATGTAAATGTAAGATTTTTATTATATCCACATTGAAATTGATTTCTAACAAAATATTTATGTACACGTGAATGTATAACTATATCATGATATTCAAACGAAACAAATCTTAGTCGATATCTCTTTAAGTTATGTAAAAATAATTATTATGCATGAGATAAATTAAGAATACATTTATTTAAAATTATTAACCCACCATATTTAAAGATGTTATTTACTTACATGAAAAATTTTAACTATCTTTTACGGAAATAATACGAAATATATAAATCAATTGAAAAAAATTATACATCGAAGGAGGCAAAACATAATAATATTTTCAAAATTTTCTCATATTCTTCGGAAGAATAATTTTACAAATGTTCATCAACTTCGTTTAGGTGTTAGTTGATAAATCTATTTATCAATGTATTGTCAACTTCTTTAAATATCATATTCACGATAAGATTATAAAAACTATAAAATCTTATATGACGTTGTCACGAGGAACTTTACGTTGTAAATGTAATCATTTTTCTTTAACGGAAATTTTATCATACTATATATATATTTTGATATAACATTTAGAAAAGAGTTAGACGGAGGTTTGAAGATCTCGCAGCAACGTGGAATATAACTCCAATGGTGGCTCTAAGAAAATAGTAGCAACAATGGGGTCTCCTCTTCTCAAAGTAGCCAACCTATCCGCAACCATATTCTGCTCACGACATATATGTGATACCTTTGTGATCCACTCAAGTTTGAGCATTTCGTGGATTTTAGTGACCAAAGCACTCCCCACAAGCGCATCCGATGAAAAATTACAGATTTTCATAACCTCGAGGTTATCGGTTTTCAGTTCAATATATCGGATTCCTAGTCTCCAAGCATGCAACAAGATCATGAACACCCCACAGCTCAGTGGTAAGAATCAAACAACGTCCTAGACTAAGCGTGAAACCAAAAATCCATTCTCCCTCAGAGTTGCGCAGAACACTTCCTACAGCCGCCATATTGTCACATGTTCTAACAACCCCATCCGAGTTTCCCTTAATCCAACCAGTGGGAGGTCGACTCCAAGACAAGATGCTTCTAGACATTGATGGACTACGATTTTTGTTGCTAACATTAGCAGTCACAACATCATCAACAAAGCGATTGCAACGATAAATAAACTCATCTCTTTCAACATAACTAGGATCAAAGAGAATATCACATCTCCGTTTTCAAAGGTGCCAACAGTAAACCAAGAAGCGAATATCCCAATCATCATTCATTTGCGCATACACTTCAGGAGCCCTTAAGTTACGTTCATTCCAAATCTTGTAAGGAAAAGTCAAGAACTCATTAAGCTTCTCAGTTTTGATAACCCTTACCCACATATTCCTAGCCATACTGCAATGATGTAGAATATGATCAACATCCTCTATAACAACCCCACAAATCTAACATCCCAGTAGGCTAGAAAGGTGTCGACGAGATCGTTCTACATTAGTAAGAAGTCGATCATGAAATAATAACCAATGGAAAATACGGAGGAGTTTTACAAATATCTCATCTTATCTTAGTAAAATTTTAACGACATAATCTACTTTTAGTGAACATTCAAGGAGGAGTTTTATAAATATTTATTATTTATGAATATTGATTATTGTTAAAATTAAAGGTTTTGAAATTTAAGATTCATTAAAATTAGAATTTTATTTGATATCAAATCTTTGAGTTTATAAATTAAATTATATAACTGAATGTAGAAAAGTAGTTTTGATAAAAATGATTTTATTGAATAGTTTGACGAATTTAAGAATTATATTTTATGATTTAAAAGAGTTTTATGTTCTCATAGAAAAATTAAGAATATATTTAATTAAAATCAAATAGAATTAAAAATCATTTGACTCGTATGTTAAACTCAATTCAAACCTAACTGTTACCTATTCCATGAACAAAATCAACTTTATACAACCACGCATTCCTCACTGTGTATTCATCACAATCTTATGACAAACGTGAAGTGTGAAATAAAAATAGAAGTTTAGACGTAAGTTGAATAATTAAAAAATATTACTATTTTTTTGTTCTAAGATAAGAACTTCATATTTTAATATTTAAACTAGTTCATAACAAGTGCATGACAGGATGGCTGATTTAGGATTGTCTGTATTCGTTATGAACCGAATAAACACACAAGAATAATAAACAACTGAAACTTAAATTTAAAATTAATATAAATCTCGAAACTGCATAAATCATCCCAATACTGAAGCAACTTAAATATCAATACCTGCAGAAAATTCATTTTAACAACACTATATTGAATATACAGTTGCACATAAATTCAAGGCTTAGGAAAACTAAAAGGAGGACTGGAACACACAAAATAATACCAATAACGATTAAACCCTAAAAAGGAGAAACCCTATGGTAATGGAGAAGAAGTATCAGCTCTTTCCACAGCAATAGCATGCAAAGGGAATTTCATCTCACATGAGAGCTTGAGAACTTCGCTCAAATCAACCAGGTGAGAAGCCACATCCTGAACCCACTTGAAATGCTGCACCAGCTTAGCAACCCACAGGTTAACTGTGACGAGCCCAAGGTTCTTTCCAGGGCAAACCCTGCGCCCAGCACCAAAGGGTGCGAGCCTCAGGTCACCGCCTCTGACGTCCACGTAGGCTTCCAAGAACCTCTCGGGCTTGAACTCCAGCGGGTCATTCCACACGTTCGGGTCATGCGTTATGGCCCACATGTTCACCATGGCGGTTGTGTTAGCGGGAATCAGCATCCCGTTACTGAGCTGGACGTCCGACGTGGACAGCCTCGCCCACGAAAGCAGGGGCCCTGGGGGATGGAACCGGAGGGTTTCTTTGACAACCGCCTGAAGGTAAGGTAACTTTGCCAAGTCGGCGTCGGTGAGGGTTTTGTTCTTCACAACAGCGCTGTCAATTTCAAGATGCAGCTTGTCTTGTACTTCCGGGTATAATATCAGCTCAGCCATGACCCACTCCGTTAACAAAACCGTCGTATCAGTTCCTCTAAATATCATTTCCTGCACCAAAATTCACAAAGTTAACTCAGTATTCAACATGCAAATAAAATTAGTATATACAATCACTATCACTAACCCATAAAACGGCAACCATGTCATCTTCTTGGAGTTTTTCTTCACCGTCGAGAGAGAGCAAGACATCTACAAAATCAGCATTATCAAACAACAATCTGGACTCACATAGTCTTTGTTGGTGTTGTTCAATGATGCCTTTGACCAGTTTTCTAACTCGGGGAATCAGTTTCGAGCAACGTTGATTAATATGAAAGGGATCATAAAAGTAACTCAGCCATGGCAAATAATCAGACCAGTTAAAAGCCCCCAAGAGTTCAAACCCTTCTCCTACCATATCCCTAAGCTCTTCCAATTCTTTACCATCTTTTCCCTGGTCATATCTTTTGCCAAAAACACTCCCCATGATATTGTTCAAAGCAGCAAACTGAAGATGTCTTCTTAAGAAAACAGATCCATTGAGTTTCTGCTCGTTTGATATGTCGCGCAGCATGGTGGCGCAGTCTAGTTGGCGACCGGTTTCGTGTGCCATAATGCGCTTTGGTACAAAGAGGTGGGAGGAAGCTATCCCTCTCAAAAGCCTCCAATATGTTCCATTGGGAGCGAATCCTATGGCTCGACTGAACATGAGGCTTTTAGCAGACTGTTTGATGGGTCGGTCGGCGAAGTGAGGGGAGGTTAAGATTTCTCGAGCAGTATGGTGATCGGAAGTTACAACGACAGGGGTGGAACCGAGGCTAAAAGCCATGAGCTGCGTGTTGGCTCCGGACCAAGCCATGGCGGCAAGCGAACGGTGAGCCAAGCCACGACTCAATGTAAATAGGCTACCAAATACAGGGAGACCCCTAGGACCAGAAATTGGAAGGCTACCTTTTCGGTTCCTTCCATTTCTCCATGCAGTCCCACCAACATTAAAAGCCCAGGAAAGAAGGGCAACTGAAAGAGATGCCATGAAGATGGAAAACAAAACACAACCATCGACGACTGACACACACCTTACTGCAGTGATTTGATTAACCTTACACTTTTTCGTCGCAGTTATCTATTTTTAATCTTTTTGTCATAACCGTATTTCGGTTAGATCTCGAAATTGGGTTCCGACTTAAAAAATGTGGATTGAGAGTCGCCACCGATTATTTACTTTACGAAAAGTAGGTTGATCGGATACCTTATTTCTTACCTGATCTACGTCTTACCAGTGATATGTCGGATCCGAGAGTCGGTTACAGTCAAGGAAGGATTAACACATTTGAACCGCCCTTTCGGTACTATGTAATTTCCAATTGTCTTTAATTAAGAAAGTTGAAAGTTTAAATTGAAAGGTAAAAATAACGATCCAAAATTTACATTTGATTGATTGAAAATGTACACTTAAGAAAGTAAAAAAGCCATGTTAGATAAAATGGTAAGAAATTAATTAATTAATTAAATTAAAATGAAAAGAAAAGAAACCAAATTAAGTAAAATGATAAAATGAAGAAAGTAAAGATAAAATAGTAAGTAAAAAAATAAAATAAAATATAAAAAACAAAAGAAAAAGAAATAAATAAACAAATAGAATAATAATAAAGTACGAATAATATATAATATATAAATAAAAAAGTAATATATATAATTAATAAATTAATGACGAAAAGAACATATACATATATAATGATAAAAACCAAATAAAGATAATTACAATATATATATATATACAATACTAATAATGATAATAAGTAGTTAAAAAAACAATCACACCGAAAAGGGAAGAAAAGAAGTAAGGTTTGGTGAAGTATAATTGACGGGAAGAAAATGATGAGGGGTGGGGACAAAGTAGGTAGATATAATTAACTTATAAATATATATATATATATATTAATAAATAATAATAGTAAAATGTATATAAACAACACATATCGATAAAAAAAGAAACTAAAAATGATAAAAATATAAAAAATTAATAGAAAAATATATGTATAATATTATAAAATATAGCACTTAAATAAAAAATCAAATATATTATAACATGTATAAAACTAAAATATTTAAAAAGAACATACGTATATATATATATAACAAAATAAATAATATAAAATAATACAAGTAATAATACAATATAATAAAGAAGAGAAATAAAAAATAAATAATAATAAAATATAAAAATATACATATATAATATAAAAGTAGAATAAAAGGAAAATATAATAGTAAAACTAAATATAATAGTAATAATAAAATGCAAAGAAAATAAATATATATATATTGGTAATAACGTATATAAATAGAGAAAAATTAAAAAAGTGATAAATTAAAAATAAAATTAGCAATATGTATATATATAAAAAAACTAATTAAGGATTAAAATGAAAGGAATGTAATTAAGTGGGTAAATGTCAAAAAACATTGAAGATTAAAACCGGCAAAATAAAAAGTTTTCATTTTTTGATAGATTTTCGTACTCTCATTTTACAATGTAATTTGTTTTTGCGAAATAGCCTCTAGAGAGCGTAGATCTGAAATCAAAGTTTCGAAAAAACTCCCTCTGGGTCATCGGCTAAATATTTTTCTTTGGGTTCTCCAAGAAACACGATTAACAACGCATGCAAGTGAAGAGTAAAGAGAACAAACGAAAGATAAAAAAAGCTTTCACCTTTATTACTTCGAATCGTTTACAATAGCCTCGAATCACTTTTTCTTTGCTCGTATTTTCTGGCGTTCCTTTGTGTAACTCCTGTCTGTAAATCGTGTCTTACAATAGTGAGTTACAATGGCTATTTATAGTGCTTGTGGATCCTATCTTTAGGAGTTTAAATCATAGTAGAACTCTATCATATTTTTAGGAGTTTAAATCCTAGCAAAATTCTATCCTATTTTTAGAAGTTTGAATCCTAGTAGGACGAAAAGGTGTGTTGACAGCTGCCCCTCTTTGCCCATAGTCGTGTAACGGGATAGGGCAAAGATTAAAAGACACACTTTCGTTCGGTGGAGTTGAAAATTGACTCTGATGTTTCAATAACTCCCTGTCGAATTGAGTTACGGATGACTCCTCCGTCGTGAAGCCGAGTTCATCTTGAAATGATATGAAATTGAAGTCATAGTTCGGAATTTGAATCAGCACGTGGCTTCTCGTTGCCCTTCGGTCTTCTTCTAGGTTTAAAGACCTTGGATCGGAATCGAACTCAGAAATCTTCATTGACAAATAGCTTTTGCTTGAAAATGGTTGCTTGTCACTAAAGCACGGTTAACCCAGGTCCTCTTCTCGACTTGAAAACCTTGACTGCAACCGAAAAGTAGTGCGATTGATGTGTCATCGAGCTGAATGAAATCGAACTCGACAATTTTGATGGCAGA